CCACCGCCTGTGGAGGTCCGCGAGGGACAATGCTCCCCGCCTCGGAGCTTGGACCCCCCTGGGGAGGGGTCCGAGGTCCGACGTTGAGCTGCCGTTGCCCGCGGGCCCGCCAGCGCCTAGCTTGCCCCCCCCCTCCTCTTCGCCTCCTCGGTTCCTGCCTGGGCCCCCCCGCCTCGGAGCGGCCGATCTCAACTCACCGACAGAGGAAGAAGATCCAGAATCTTCCACATCCGTGTCCTATGCTTCTCCGGCAGCACGACTTCCTGCCTGCTTGCTTGACGGAGAAGGGAGGCGGCTGGGGAGCCCACGCGAGATGTCCAGGGCCACCGCGCGGTCTGGGGGCCCGAGGCGCTCCCCGAGGGCGGCTCGAGCGGCGGAGGCCCCCGAGGTCCCCAAACCTTGCGCCGCGCGGTTGGGTGCAGCCTCCTCCTCCTCCTCCTCCTCCTCCTCCTCCTCCTCCTCCTCCTCCTCCTCCTGGGGGGGCTCCGAGGTCTCTGTGGACACCGCGTGGGGAGTCGGGTGCGGGCAGCAGGTGCAGCCAAGACGCTGAAGTCAGGAGCAGCTTGGATTCGGAACGGGGCTCGATGTTCCTCACGTCCTTCCGTGGCTGGTCCTCTAGCCCTCCTCGTGCACCCAGGCTTTTTTTTGAAACCGCAGAGGGGTTTTCGTTCCTGATTCAGCGTTCCTTATTCCAGCAGCCCGACTGCATATCCAAAGCCAGTGCGTCTTGGATGTTCTGGGAAGGGGCGCCGAACGGCAGAGGCGCACAGGATGACGGATCACAACCGAGCCTCTGAGGGACGATGGGTTCTCCATGTCCAGTGCCCCTCGTGTTTCTTCTGTGTGGGGGGGGGGGCCGAAACTCAAAGCTGCAGTGGACATGGACACGAGTTTTGCCCGCATCAGCTGGGATTCGGGGTCACCGCGCGGTTTCGGGCCTCGGGTCGTTCTTTGAGGACGCCCTTTGACCGACCGGGGCCGCCGAGGCCCCAAGACCGTGCGGTGACGGGCGGTGTTCTGAGGCCGTTTTGGGTATTCCGAGGTCACCACGCGGTCTGTCACCGCATCGTTTCGGGACCCCCCAATCACGTCGGCATGTAGGTTGAAGTCGGGCATGCCCCTCTGCAGGAGGGAACTTCGAGAACGGTGAACCGTAGTCTGGGGACGAGTCCCTGTGCTCTTCTGACTCCTGTGGGTATCTCTTGGCTCTTCTGTCTTGCTGATCCCCCTAAGCCCGGCTGTAGGAGGACATGCCCGACCTAACGGTAGTTCGGAGGCGGCAAAGAGGGGGGTGATGACTAGGGGGGGGTTAGGATATCATGACGTGGACCATGATATTTCGCCAGATCTGATGGCGCCTCTCCTTATTTTATCACGTCGCTGGCCCCCCCCCCGCTGGGACGCGCACATGCCGCCCGCCATGATTTGCGCACCCCCCTCGTGGACACCCCCCTCTTGGCCGCCCCCGCGTAGTGCTCTTGGGAATGCGGGGGGCGAGCGCCCACCCGTCGCCGAGGGGGGCCCACCCCGCCCGAGGAGCCCGGGATAGGGGGCAGGAGCGATACCGCCAGCCCGCACTGTGAGGGTGGTCGGCTTCCCGGGGGCACCCCCTTGGCATCCTTGCCTTTTCGGCAGATCTCGGGCCCATCCTTAGGGGAACAAAAGGCGACATAAGCATAAGAACTCTGAGGCCCGCGCGGATTTCTCGGATCGGCGCTGGGGCCCCCCGGCGGCGCCTCCAGCGCCGCCCCTGGCGCGCTCCGCGGGCCAGGGAGGGGGGTCCAGCGCCGATCCGAGAAATCCGCGCGGACCTCTGAGTTTTTACGTTTATGTCATTTTTTGTCCCCCTAATCCTCAACCACTTTCGATGGCCAGCCCCGATCGAAGAGCCTCGGAATGGGCGTCCAAGGTCCTTACATCCTTACCCCTTACCGCGCATCCTTACTGTACGGGTTGACTGTATGCCAACACCACCAGGGGGCAGAACCCTCCAGCGAGGAGGTCCACGCTGCCTCCCCGAGCTGCAGCCTGGGGCTCAGTGCTAAGTCGGGCTTGTCCCTCTACATGAGGAATATTCAAACATAGTCCAAGAAAATACTAATGCGGACGATGTTTCTATTATTGTTGGATTATTTGAGGTTATTTGTTTTGGATGTTTTTTTGTTTTCGCCCAGGATCCGCCTGTAGGGGGACACGCCCGACCCCCTGCAAAACGTATCTAAAAATGATAGATGCGTTTAGATGCGATCGCGCCCAGGTGCAGGCGAGAAGCCCACCGTATCCATTTTTCTGCACCGACGACAATAGAGATATTCATTTTAGATGCGCGCCCCCGGCCTGCGCGGGAGCGCCGCCGTATCTAAACGTATTTATGTTTCAACCATATCTAAAACATGTGGGTCCGTCTCTATTTTCCTCCCCGAATATATATATATATATATATATATATATATATATATACACATATATATATATGTGTATGTATGTATGCATGAATACATGTATAGGCATATATTAATACATACACATGTGTATATAATTATATGTATGTACATAGTCGTATGCAGTGTTCAAAGAATTACAGCGCCGCGCCGTATCTGTTCGTATCCAACCTTGTCAGAGCGAACGTTGTTGGCTGTGCTCTCGGCGCGAACAAGATCCGTGATATTGGCCGGAACAATGAACAACGAGATAGGGACAGTGGGAAGCCGTAGCGATGAGGAGTAAAGACACGAGCGACGACGACAAAAACGACGAGGAGTAGGATGGATAACAGGGACGAAACGAAATTTAGGAGAGAACTGGGTCGGAACAGGGAACCGTAGGATGGGGGAAGCAAAGAGGAGAAGGAGCGACTCGGACGATGAGCGCGGACGAGGAGGAGGAGAATGAGGACGCACGGCGAGGAGGCAAGAGGAGCGAGGTAAAGTTGGAGGGAGCGTCAGAAAGAGAACGTGAAGGAGGGGGATTCAGGACGGGGATGAAGCCGACCAGCGATTGAAGAAAATGGCTCTTCTGCTTCGTCCTCCTCGTCCTCATGATCGTCCGGCCCGCCCGCCGACCACGATTTCCCACTTCACTTCCTCCTCCTCCCCCCCACCACCATCATCATCGTCGTCGTCCTGGCTGGCATGTGTAGTGTCTTCCCTGTTCGTGGTAATTGAGCGGCCTAGGCCTGGCAGTGGAGACGTGGCGCCGCATTTATTCGTACCTGTTTTTGGTAGACATGTTTTCAAGCGATGGGCGCCATACTGATCTGTATCTAAACATATCTAAACATATCTATTCGTATCTAAAAATGACCCCGTCTTTCAAAGTTTGAAGAAAACATGCCTCACGTATCTAAACAAGTAAGAATTCGTATCTAAACGTATCTACGTTTGAAACATATATTGTTGTATCTAGTTGGCCCGGGGCCGAATTTTAGATACCATCAGGTCCTTCCGAATGCAGCTGCCGCTGGGGAAATGACCAACCAAAACAGATTTCTAGATGTGTCTTCCAGGGCCTAAGTTTAGTGGGCCCCGGAAGCGGCAGGGCCGTTTTTTCACCGTTTCCGAAGAAGCGCTTCTTGAAAGTGGAAGCGGCAAGAGAACGGCCACCGGAAGTGGCAACAAAAACGGTTCCAGGATTGGATCCGGAGCCTGAGCCGGGAAAAAAGCGGCGACGGAACCAGTAAAACAACGGCGTCGGCGCCGGCAAACACAATTGCAAAACGGAACCGGTCAAAAACGGCTTCATTGTTTCCAGGGCCCATCAAGGGCTGGGGATGTCTCGAACGAGCGGCGGGGCGGGCCACACCACCACGGAGACCCCCACTTGCCTCCTCGCAGTTCCTCGCCCTGGTGTTGTTGGTGTCGCTTCTCCCTGTTCCTAAGGAGCGGGGCAGCGCCCTGCCCCACCTCTCCTTGATCCTGCGTCTCCGAGGCTGGCGCCCCGCGTCGTCTCGGTGCAGGGCCTTGCCGCGCCCACCCCGGGCCGGCGCGGCCCATTCGTCCCTCGGCCGCCCCTTGTCCGGGGCGAGGCTCTCCCGGGCAAGCGAGCGGGCCGCGGATGCGAGGGAGGAGTCTCCGGCCCTGCGTTCCTGGCGTTAGGTCAAGCATGTCCTTAGGAGGAGCACTCAAGGATGGAAGCAAAATTAGGCTGGGGACGATTTGTCGTGCTGTTTTGGCTATGTTTAATGGATCTTTGTCTTGGCCATGTGTGGGTTTTCTTTCAAAGCCCGCCTGTAGGGGGACATGCCCGACCTACAGGGCAAGCGAGGAGTCTCTGGCGCTTCGTCCCCGGCGTTCAGGCGCAGCTTTTGTCTGGGAGGTGCGGGCGGTTTGTTTTTATTTGCACATTATTGAGGTTGTTTGCCCCCCGATGGGAATATTTTCTGCGCTGATGCACTTTTGCGACAGGAGTATCCAGGTGTTGTTCAAGTAGTGGCGAAGCATCCTGGCTCGCCTATAGGCCGACCAAGCCATG